ACATTTGATGAATGCCTTAGGCTTGTGTCTGTCTTTACCCTACAATGCTTTACTTCAGTGGGATGGAAAAATTAGCAAGTGAATTCTAACTTGTGCTCATTGGAGTCTGCTAGTAGTTTGACCTGGGCATTTTTGCACCAATACACTTTTTGTCTTTGAGATCTGCATGCACATTACACTTTAGAAAAATGTGTGTTGGTGTACAGTGATCCAGTGGAGCAAAGGAAAAAGGAAGCAGTTCATAAATAATAACAAATGCTTCTGAGATCACAGTGTGAACAGGTGGGAGAAGCTGTAAAGTGAAGGGCCAGGCTGGCCTAAAAATGTTCCATGTGAAAATGCTTTTTTGTTCCTTGTAAATTATAAAGCTTTCATTAAATGTTTTGAAAGAGTAAGGGAAGCATTGGGGTCATTTGGTATGGGGTTTCCTGGAGTGTAGTGATTGAAAAATGGAAGCTGAAAATTTAGGGATTTAGCAGTCTACATGCTGTGCTGTGGAAAAGTAGAGATTTGACTCTTTTGTTCTGGACAGAAAGGAACATGTTTTGGTGTGGCTTCTGAAGCAAATGCTATAAATGCTCCATGTATAAGAACATGGCTTATTAAAATGGGAAATGTTCTCATTTAATCTGAGATATCCAGCAGTTAATGTTTTCATAAGTTTTCAAATGTAAATATTTTGGGGAAGATAAAAACTGAGAATGTCTAAGGTATGATGTAACTGATACGCTGTTCTGTCATCCAGTTAGCATATATTATTAGGTAAGTGTTAATGAGATTAGTGACTCGTGCTGACAGTTTGCTGCTTGAACTTTATCCTCTTCTTTTCCCCACCTGTGTGATTCTCTCCTTTGCTCCTATTCACACAGCCCTTAGTAACACACAGCCATTGGTAAGTCAGTTTTTCTCCCTAAGCAAGGAACAAAAATAGTTTTTTCTTTCCTGCTAGTTCAGGGGACTGACCTGACTGATTCATCGGCAGCTTAAACAGTGAAAGAAGGAAGTAGGATGAAGTGGCAGGAAAAGCAGCATGTGATCATCTCTTTCACTGTTACTAGGCTTTTAGATTGGCCCAGTTATCTGGTGAAGCCTCACCCTTTGGATTTGATTATGAGGCGCTGCTGGCTATCCTCAGGAATTACTACCCAAATTTGAAGTTGCTGATCACTTGGGAAAGCCTAGTAAAATAAAGTCACTGTTGCAGGTTTAGTAACAGCTCTCGAGGTTTCTTAGGTCTTTGGTTTTCTGTAGTCTTTACAAGCAGCATTTTTAGTCTCCATTTACTCATCTCCTGTTTTCATTGATACGAAACTGTTACTGCATTTTCTCATTCTTTTTTGTATGCTTCAGCTTTTGTTCTCAGACCCTGAAAAATTAATCGAAACTGGATTTTTCCTGCACTCCTGATAAGTGTTAACCTGTAGTAAAGTTGGTGTTACAGCTAAGCTAAATAAGCACTTAACTGCGTCTGAAAGGGTCATTTCACCTCTTTTCTGGCAGTGTGTTTTCACTGCTTCACTTTGGCCAACTTTGGTGTTTGTTACTGTCAAAGAGCTGGTTGGGGAGCTAGGCAACAGAAAATTAACTGTACTTTTAAGTTCAACTGGCTCTGTCAACCAGCTCCCCACAGGGTAAAATGAACACGAGGCTTGGTGTAAGGATGGAGAGCCATAAGCACAGAGGCAAGAGATTGGTTCACAGGACTGCTAAAAGGGGAGAATCTGGGCCATCATTTTAGCAGTACTTCTTGATTAGGTAGATAGAGTTGTAATGTCATACCACATCCTGAAGGCAAATACATTAGCAATACAAATACGTTGCTGTTCTTCCTTAAAACTGAGTGCAGGAGATGATCTATTACTACTTTTCTATCCATGGGATGCTTCCATAGGCAAACATTTCAGCCCTTGCAGCTTGCCTTCTCCCTGATTAAGAGTTCTAATCCACTTTTTATTATCAATAGTTTGTATTACCAATGTTTTGGTTCTCTTCATTTGCCTCAAAATTTTTTACATTAATCTTGTCATGCAAGTATGATCAATTTCAGCAATACGTTAACTGTACTGTATGAATTTAAACCAGAACTGCAGTTATCACCTCAAAACAATCTTATTCTTCTTAACAATCAGTTGCATTTGTATTTGCTCTGCGTTTTAAATTTTGGAGGGCTGGAATTCCCAGGTTTTCTTAGCATCAGAGGTTTTTTTATTTGTCAGTGAAGGTAAATCTTAATTTTGCTGCCAATATTGTCCAAGCCAAGTAGAGGCGTTAGGTAGAGCTTCCTTTTTCAAATCGTTGGTGGTTCAGTTTGCAGGCATTTGGAGTGCTGGAGGTGAACCTTAAGATAATGTGGTGTTTGTTCATTAATACTTATTTTAAGCCATGTCTTTTGTAAGAAAGAAGAAACAGCTCTAGATTTAAGAGAGTTTGTATTTCTTAACAGCATTAGAAGTTTCTGCTTAGTTGTTTGTTCGTTTTGCCAGGATTGGCTGTTTTCTCTTGCATTAACAACTAAGCAGAGCAGGTCACAAGCTATACGGCTGTTATCTTTAACTTGCATTTACGTATTTATGCTCTGCTAAGTAGATTAATCTCTTGCTCTTTAATATACTGTTTTGTGGCATATAACATAAATATCATGTTCCTTTCTATTTTTATGACTGGGAAAAATGAGTCCAAGTTTATTAGTTCACAACAACCATGTAAACCCTTTAATACTTCTTTTTCATCAGGCTTGATTCAGATACAGGTATAGATCAGCTAGACCGATATGTAGCAGTGTTTCATATCCAACCTTTTCTGTCCATTTCTGCTTTACAAACATGTTAGGTAGTTACTTAGCTTCACAATGATTGGCAAGGTATTTATTGAGAAAGCAGAGCATTTCGGTTTACCATGAAAGTTTGAGGACAGAAATTGGCGCGGAGCGGCAAGTAGATTAAGAATATAATGTCAGTCTTTATTAGGGAATATATATGCCTATGTAGAAGTATGTGTGTTTATAGACAGGGGTTTGTGTGTATGTGTGTGTATTTCTGTTTGCATTTATCTGAATCCATCAAATAGATGTCTAATGTATCTAAATAGTTTCATGCCTAGAAACTGAGCTTTGTGTGTATATACAGACTTCATCTTCCAAATATGTATTATAATTTGTTTTTCTCTGAAGCAGCAGAGTAACCTAGGATTATGCTCTTTAAAAGGCTCTGTAACATTATTTTTCTTGGTGGTGTTATTTCCTTATATGTTGTATTAGGTGCCCATTAAATAAAGTGTAGTGTTTATCTGAACATAAGGACTCATTCAGAAGCATAAATGTAAAAATAAGCATTGCTGAAATGTGATGTCAACTTATTTTTGGAATACAACTGTATTGCACTGAATAAAGGTCGTATTGCCTGGCCTTTTAGATACCAGAGTGTTTAGTTCCTGGTATTCTTAGCAGTACTCATTGAGTCAAAATATTTCTGAAGCCTTATCCTAAGAAAGTTCAGTAACTTCACCTTGTATACCCCCATTGGAATTTGAAACAGATTTAGGGCAGAAACATGTGGTCCAAACAGCTGTCATGCAAAACCACTTAAAAAAACCCTGGAAGTCTGGTGAACTCAGAAATCTGTTGTGCATGTTGTTTTGACTTTTTTTAATGAAGATAATACTAAATACATCCTTCAAGGAACAGCTGTAATGTAGGTCTTTAACCTAAAAACACAGCTAAAATAAACTGCTGTGCTTGGACAGATGTGCCTTTTAAACATAGGGCTTAAGGATTTCAAATTTATAGCTTGCCTTTACTGTAGAATTACAAATAGTTTGATATCATACATCAGTGGAGGCACAAAAGTCACAGAAAACGAAACAGGATTTGGACGAGGATCAGAGAGACAGAGTCAGCATGAGAGCATCTATCTGTCTGATGATCTTGGATTTGATTAAAAAATTCAAAATTCTGTTGTTCCGTCAGTGTAATCTCTCCAATGCAAAGTTAGGAAATGCCTGTTTGTTTCCTGACAGTTATTCTGTTTCCATTTCCCGGCATACTGGGATGGATGGGGAGGGGGAGTCCAGGCTGCCTAGGGAGAAGCAGAGTGAACTGTTCCCTCTTATTTTCCAGCATTTGGGCATTTTCCCTGTGTAGGGACCACTTGTTTCTAACTCACCCTGGCCTTTCCCTGTCTCATGAATGAGTTAATCTCCCAGGAAAATAAAAGGAAAGGGTTTGAGTTAGTAAAAGTGGGAGGCTATAGCACAAAGGGTAACAGAGCATTCAGATGACATCTACCAATTTTTATACCACATGGTTTACAGAAAATTCCTGCAAGATTAAATAGATTATTTAAGAAAATAACCAACCCCAAAACCAAAAGGAGTACAAGCAAATTTTACAAGACTGCATGAATTCTAACATTTGATAAATAGTTTATGTGAATTATTTTGCTATTTATAATAGTTCTGTATGGCAGCGTCAACTCTTAAGAGGAAAAATAGGTGGTCTGGAATGGACACAATTTTGAGTGAAGCAATAAAAGGAATTGGGAGGGTATAAAGTATTTCATATACTATAATGATGGATGAGATGATAGTAGACAAAAGTCAGAGGTGTGATCATGACACGTATAGATAAATCAACAGCAAAACCTCCAGTTTTAAGTAGAAAAAAAAACTATTTTGAAAAAATAAAGTACAGGGTAGTTGTACAGCTCAATATGACAGTGGATACATACATGCTTATTGGTCTGCACAATTTATCACAATAATGCTGTTAGTTTAACAGGAGCTCACCTCAGCCATGCTTTGATTTCTTTGAAAGCTGTAAGGTTTCCTTAAAATACTCCTTTTTTTTCCTCTTTCCATTTTTTTCCTTTCTAAATAAGAACTTCTCTGTGGCTGATTTGCAAATGCCAGTTGTGAGTTTTAATATAGTATTCAGAGAGTTTTTTCCAAATAAACAGCATTTTATTAATCGTTTTCCATTTTTTTTCTTCTGCCTCTCATTTCAGAACGGTTTGATCACCACTGTCCCTGGGTAGGCAACTGTGTGGGGAAAAGAAACTACAGATTTTTTTATATGTTTATTTTATCTCTGTCCTTTCTGACAGTCTTTATATTTGCATTCGTTATCACCCACGTCATCCTTCGTAAGTATGCTGGTGAAATCAGATTACGTATGTAGCCATTTGCTTGAGTTCTTTATTTTTAAGTTAATCTTTTGATCATTCAGGGTTTATTTATTTATTTATTTATTTGCCTTTTCTCTGAAGCTTCACAATCCCCAGTAAGTTCCATTTCCGGTCTGTAGTAGACCCTGGTCATGATAGTCACTGATCTGGCGCTGGCTTTATCTTAATATAGTGTTAATTTTCTTAATTTTTTTTTGGCTTTTTCTGGGTTACTTAATGGGAAAGCAGCACACATGCTGTATGTCTAAGGATACAGATAGTATAATTTTCTCAAAGAATTTTTGTGTGCTTTTTTACGTGTAAGCATGGGTCACTTACCATCGGAACAAACATGTAAATTATTAGGAAATAGATTGGAGCTATTTTACACTTTTTGTTGTTTGCTGTTTGGTTTCACATCTTTCTCTACCCTATTTTTAACACAAGTTACTTTCATTTGCATAGACATTCTGAGAACAACAAATTCATAATGGAATGAATAAGCTGTAGGAAGACGAATATTCATGAGCTTAAGATTGATTTTTATTTGAATTCTGGATTGGATTTGAGGTCAAGACTCTTGTGGGTACTGTCTTATTTTTTTCCACAGGCCTAACAAATTTTGTTAGCTCCTATATGATGACGATGATCTAATTCATGGTGGAGATTATATGACTTGTCTTTAAAGACCTTTTGTATGTTCTGGAGGTCTTTTAACTCTATCTCTAGGAGGCTTAGATGTTCCATCGTTTCACTAATTATGTAGGATATTGCTTTGAAGATTATTTCTTGAATAATTTTGGAAATGTGATCTTTTTATTTCTTTATATTCTGTATTATAATGGAAACCTGATAGAAGTAATAATTTCAGTTTATAACACATTTATAAAGCAAACTTGATAATGGCAATATTTAGAGAATGTTTTGCTGAAAAATAAGCTGGATTATGCTCAATTTCCTTCACTGCTTACACTGTGCAGAGAAAATTTGTATTTTAAAAAGTGGAACAACTGCTTTTGTTTGTGCTTCACAAAAGGAGGATACAAAGCACTGAGTGCCTCTCCTATAGCTCAGAGACATAGCACATAGGCTAGAAGTAGGGGCACCTAATTCTGAGGGAGTCTGGAACAAGTTGTTCTCACTGTCAGATACAGCATTTCTAATACCAGTTGAAAGAGCAGAGATAAGATGTACATATTGTTTAAAAAGAGGAAAGTAATTTTTGGAAATAAAATGTTTTCCATTAATACTGAAATCCTTGGCATTTATTTGGGCATACTTGAGTATATATATACATACCTCTTACACTGAAGAAGGAAGCATGGGGTTTTTTTCTGTCATCATACTTTGCTTGAATTCAGTAGTTGAAACATTACCAGTCTCACAATGTAAAGCTATTTTTGAAGCTGACCGACCTTTATTTCACAAAGACTTCAGTGCTTTTTTCTTTAGCTTTCAGCATATGAATTACCAATATTATGCCAGGATTTTGTGTTCTGTATGTCAAGTACATTTATCCAGTGGATTTTATCTTTACAGTGTCCATACCTAATTCTAAGTATGAATTAGACAAAGGTCGAAGAAATTAATTATGCCTCTGTGTGGTTGAGAAGCACTTCAGCATTATTTATATGTTAGAGATAATGTATAGTAAATGTTAAATGCTGAACTGTCTACCAGCTGTAAAATATTCTTGCTATGGAGGTTTATCTACCTTGGATGAGACAGGAAAAACCTTTTTAGTTGTATAGATTGGTTGGTCCTCAAAGGCAATGGGAGCGGGTATGAATTGTGATTAGTTCCTCAATGTTTTTTTACTACATCTGAGCTTCAAGACCGGCTTTCAAATTTATCTACTATAATCTTGACTATGTCCACAAAAAGAATTCTTTACATGTAAGGTTTTCTTACCATATTGATCACTCTAGTCTCTCTGTGCCTACCATGCTTCTAGAAGTCCTCCTATCTACCTTTCTAGTAGTTACCACGCAAGCACTTTTGTTATGTTTTGCAGTCAGGCAGTTCTTCAGCTGATGCTAACCAGTAAGCAGGATTCTCAGTTCTTTAACCTGGACCTTTGCACTTGGCATAGACTGCTTTCTGTTAGTGTGTCTGAATAAAGTCTCGGGTTTTCATCCTGGGACTATGATCTTCCTGCTGTTTCAAAGTTATCCATATGTATATGCATAAGTCCTGGCAAAATTCTTGGTTCTAGAGGAAATCCTGCTGGCTTAATAAAATCTTGTTCTTAGCTTTTCCAAAGACAGTCTTAGCAGGATAACCTTTAGTAACACTTCTCTTCTGACAATAGTCTTTTAGGAAGGGACTGAGGGATATTTATAGCAACTTGTAGGCATTGATGTTAAAATATAAAAAAATAAAAATAAATCCTTTTGGTTCATTCCCTAATAGGGAAGTTCCTTCTCTGACCTTCTTTATTACATAGGAAACCTGTTTTTAATACTTGTTGTAACCTGGCTTTTTTATAAATTTTTGTGGGCCTAAGTGGTGACAAGATAGGAGATACATCTTTTTGTTTTCTGTGGCCGCCTGAGGCATTCATTGGAAATCTTCCTCTTCCACAATTAAGAATATGTCTACATATTATTGTTGAAGATAATTAAATGAATTTGTAAATCAGATACTTTAAAGGTTTCATCTTGCAAGATTTTATTCCATCTCCCCAAGCTTAAGACATTTTCAGTATAGTGTCTGTCTTAACAGTCACTCAGCTCTGTTCAAGGCATCAGTATTTCAACTGTTTGTTGCAGTGAGAAACCATCCCCTCCTGATGTATTGGGAACTGCTTGGAGGAGTGTGACCAGCAGTAGGGAATAGAAATCACACCTACCTGCTGCCATTGCCATTAAGGATTGTAAAAAATAGTAAGAAGTTAGGGGAAGTTCCATTAGTCTTGTTCTTTGAGGCTAAGAATTATGAAAATCTGAAAAGGCTCAGAAATACAAGGTAAGTAACTTTCCATTTTTAAAGGCAAACAGTAAAATTGACCGCACAGGTCTAGAGAATATATATGTGTGTACAAACACACATATGTATTTTTCTTTTTTTGTTTTAAAGACATGATTCTTCTCTCTTCCTACAAATCTTCAGGTGAATTTAGCTAAGGGGAAGATTTTTGTTGAGGGAAAGACTTTCTGCCTGATACATTTAAATCATTGAAGTTATACAGTAAAATGCAAACTATGTGGCTATAGCTGTATGACATTGAGTCAATTTCTACAAGTTAACTTACTTGTTGCAATCAACAAATTGTCAAATTACCCTTCTGTGATTAATACCTCGTGGTTGTGGAACTCAAGTGGATGCTTCTGCATCTCTAGTTCATTGGATCATGTGGCTCTTTGAGCTGTTTTTCAGCTACTCTTTACTCTTACTTGCCCAGAGGCAGCAAGCACTTATTAGAAAAACCTGTGCAGGTGGAGTAGGAGCAGGATTATAGTTTACAGAATATGTCTGCTTCCAGAACAGAGGAGGGAAAGTTGACAATCTGGGTTTACAGAAAAAAATTTACAAGTCAAAAAGGCACTTTGAAAAATAGTATTTCAAAATAAAAAAGTAGCTTTTAATTTTTGTTTCCATATTAGGTCTGAAAAGAACAGGGATAATCAGAAATCTTGTTCATGGGAAAGTATGCGTGTATCAATTTGTGGTATGACTGAGAAAATCCCCTGCAGATGTTAAACGTGATAACTTACCCAGTGTTTTTTCTGATGTTGTTGCTGCTGAGACACATATTCTCAGATTTGTATTAGTAAATTTATTCTATCATTATTTGGTTATCTTTATATATTACTTGTGTTAACTATGATGAAAACAGCCTGTAGTCCAGTTTCTTACTCAGCTGGTAATTTTGGGTTCTTTTTCTACAGGTTCTCAACAAACAGGGTTCCTCAATGCCTTGAAGGACAGTCCTGCAAGATATCCTTTCAGTGAAACAAATTTTAGATCTTATTGCAAAATAACATCTGAGATGTGGTTTTGCTTGTTTTCTTGCTTTGTTGAATATGTGCATTTGGGACTTTTATCAGTTAGTGATTTCATCACTTCTTGCAAAACAGGATTTCTTGCCATGTGTTGGAGGTAGGAAAGGGACTATAGCCTGGGGTGTTTTCTATTCTTTATCTTTTGCAGAGTAGTACTGTTGACAAAGGTCTGTAGTTGCCATGTGTGATGGAAATATGCTCCATATGTTTGTGATGGAATTCAGAAATATATCTCACAGTATATATCTCATGCTGTGGTTTCATTTAAAATATTCAATAATTATTCTACTTTTTCAGCAGAAACTGTCCAAAATGGCTGATTCTTATCAGGATGGAAAAAGTAGGTTGTGGAACAAGTGAAACAGTAAGCTTGTCCCTGAAGAGTTCAGTTTCTGGAGTATTCTTATGTTGATTTACTGTTTTTTCCAGAAGTCATTTTCAAGTATCAACTTCTATTAGGTTACATAATGGTATGCACATGCATACACAGGGACTACTCTTGTTGTTCAGCCTGGAGAAGAAAAGACTCTGGGGAGTCTCACTGTGGTCTTTCAATATATAAATGGGGCTCATAAGAAAAGGTAGAGAAAGACTTTTTATCAGGGCCTGTAGTGATAGGAAAAGGGGCAATGATTTTAAACTAAAAGAGGGTATATTTAGGTTGGCTATAACAAAGAAAGTTTTTAACGGTGAGGATAGTGAGGCGCTGGCACAGGTTGCCCAGAGAAGTTGTGGCTGCCCCATCCTTGGAAGTGTTGAAGGCCAGGATGGGTGGGGCTTTGAGCAGCCTGGTCTAGTAGAAAGTGTCCCTGTCCATGGCAGAGAGGTTGGAACTAGATGACTTTTAAAGGTCCCTTCCAACCCCAACCATTCTGTGGTTCTATTCTGTAAATATTCCATTTTCTTCTTATCACTTTACAGGAGCTTTCTGTACATTTTCTATTCCATGAGGATGGAAAAGGCTCCTTTTGTCCAAAAGCAGCTAGCATAATGGAAAAACTGGAAGCTGACATAAATACTGTTTAGTTTCTTAATTACATTTCTGTACCGACTGTAAGCTTCCTGCTCTTCTTATGTTTCAAATAGTTTGTGTCTGAATAAACAGTTTGCGCCTCTCACAAAGATACATTAAAAGAATTATTTTCCATGTGCCTCAAAGTCTGCCCTTTCCACAGAAGAGTAGAAACAACTCTTACTCTGTCACTTGTAGTTGTGCATATCTTTGTTGTGCAGATCTCACTTTCCAGGTAGTTTTTCCAAGTGTCAAATTCTGCAAATATGTTTTTTTGTGTATATGTGTTCATCAAGTAGAGTGACTGAGCTGTGAATTCCCTTTTTAAACAAAGCCATTGTTCAGGGTTGGGGTTTTTTTTGTAGGAGAGATTTTACAAAGCAAACCCAAACTGTTCTAAATAGCATAGTAGCTTCCAATTAAAACAATTGCAGTCACTTCTTACAAAAGATGATTCTTTCAAACTGTTTGCAAAGTGAGAGTAGCTTTCAGTTGCCCTTAAATCAAAAGATAATTGAGGATTCTTGTACAGGAACAATGGGCTGCTTATTTGTAATTTGTATTCAGAGATGTGCTGCTTTGAAAGGCTGAGAAGTGCATCTTGTTGAAACAGACGGGTTTGATAGTGATATGTTGGACAACTTAATAGCTTGGTTACAATTCATAACAGTAAAAACCCAAATTGTTCCAGTAGTATTGGGAATGCTGCTTTGGAGCAAGCTGATCAATTCAGGCACAGAGAACATTGCCATTTCTAGCTTGCTAACAACACTGTGTGGGATACCAAGGGAGTGTTATACCATATTATGCTAGTAAGTTTTACTTTATGTTGAGAATATATTGCTTTTTTGTGTTTGGCTTTTCATTAATGCAGTCATATTAATCTAACATAAACACCCATGCTGTTCTAGAGATCTTTTTGTGGGGAGCTGAAAGAAGTCTCTCACCTGGGGAAAGAAATCCTTTTCAATGGGGAAATGAAAGAGACCTTTAACTGAATTACTACGTGGAGGGAGAAACTCACTTCTCAGGGCCCTCTTGAGTGTAATCATGGCGAGGAATATCCTGTTAGTGGTGTGCTTGGTCATCTGTTGAGGTTTTAGGGAGCTCTTCTCCCTCTAAGGTTCCCCTTTTCTGGCCTGGTGATTCTTCCTCTTAGTCTTGGTGTGCAGATTCTGCCCAACTGTGCTCATCTACTATTAAGCCTTTCTTAATATTTGTACCCTATCAAAGCCCTGTTTCAATTTTGCATAATGTTTTGGGGCTATTTCCTTTTTTTACACCTTTCTGAACCCTTTGCTAACAACAGCCTTATTTATTCCCCCTGATTCCCCTTGCTTTAGCACAGTCAACGGAGTCTGAGTTTCTGTCTTGTGTTGCTTTGACTCCCTGTAGTTTGAGGAGGAGATGAAAGGGAGAGACTAGTGAACATGCTGCTCCAAAAGCAATGCACTTCAATCAGCCTGTTGTTTTTGGAGCAGATTTCCTTAGAATGCACGTGGCTATTTTCTGGCTTTTAAACCATTTTGAGTGAAGTAGGTTCTCAGGGAAGTTATATAGACAGCTCAGGTGTTTCCCAGTTCATTAGGTGAGAATACCTGCAATATAAAACTTCACTGTTAACTGATACTGGTATTATTTGTTGCAAAAACTTATGTCCAGCCGGTCTCTGTAATGGTGAGAAGCTATCATATTTCTCTTCGGTTATTAGGCTCAGTGATAAGACTGGTTTTGTATGTTTTAAGGCTGTGTCCTTGTTCTGGAATGTTTTGAGTTGATGTTGTCTTGGAAACTGACTTCACTAAGCCTTGATACATGGTTAATATACAGATTATTTTTATCCTAATCTTTTCCAATTGTCTTGTTCCTACTGATTTATTATATCTATTTTTCTAGGAAGCAAAACCTTTTCTGCTGTTGATTCATGTTCCCTTAAAAAAAATATACTGTTGAAGTGTTTTAGAAAATAACATTCTCAAAGCCAATGTATTCTGAGTTCATGGCTATTTAGGTGTAAATAAAAATACTTACAAAAAAAAAACTGTGTCAGGAAGCCTTCTATAGAAAGTTGCTGTTTATGCTTGATTATTTAAAGTTTAGAAGCATCTTTATTGTGTTACTGCTGAGACGATGACTCCTTTAGAGTTAAAGGAATACTATAAACTCTAATAAGTATGCAACACTGAGTGCTGGCTGACTTTCCCAGTATACCGATCTCACTTTTAAAGTCTGGTTACATTATGGCATTTGGGTAATGCAGTTTATGAGGAGTGAGAACACAGGTAGTTCTAGTGGTGCTCACACATGTGCACGTGCGTGCCTACTCTACTTTCTTGGAGGTGTATGTGTACCCTCTTGCTGCTCCCTACAACATGTGGGTGAGAAGGCACCCCATGAGCTCACATGTATACCTCGGGTGTGGGTCCCCATAAGTTGCACCCTGTACTGGTAGCTTACTGTCTGGATGCAAACAGTGTTTGACAGGGAGGGTGCTCTGTCTGGGCTAGGTAGATGCCAGCAGGGTGACTTGTGGCTGTGTCAAACCGAGTTTTGACTGCTGCTGTTCCCCTTCAACTGCTCTTCTGACATTTTTTATGATTTTCTTACAATTTGGTCTGATGCCTCCTTCAAAGAGACTTCTTGTAATTCCTCAGCTACTGTTTAATAGCAGCACAGTGACTTGGGAGTTGATAGTCTTCCTTTTTAGCATGTTTGGGGCAAATGCTGCTGAGTTTTGAGGATTCAACCCCACACCAAGACAGCAAGTGGACTTTATATTTTAGTTGGACTGGTGCACTTTGATGCTAGAGTTAGGATCCCTATCAGCATCTTAACTTCAGTAACAGAAGAGAGACAGGAAGAGTCTAGCAGTTAGAACATATGACTGAGATGCAGTGTATTCAGTTGTAGTTGTACAGATCTAGAACCCTTAGTCGTGGCTCAAGATTCCCATTGTGCACTAAACATTTGTACAAATGTATCTGTTCAGTCTTTGTTATTCAGCTAGCCTTGGGTTGCCTCTCGTGTTTGATCTTCCCCTCACCCCGTCAGAACAGTTATTTACTGTTACATGTTTATTTACCTGTCTTAATATAAGTGTGATGACTTTTACAGCATGAACATGAAAGTTTGATTTTCAGCAATTAAGGTCAGAACCACTCATCAGTAGTTGTTAGCCTTTTTCAATGTTCAGATCCTTAAATATTTGATGGGGTAGATGCCATTCAGTAGCCTGTACACTAAAGCCTAATGACAGTAATTTTTGCTGACACCTTTGAAGTACCCCAAAGGGACTTGTGTGCTATGACTATGCCAAATTATGTGATTGTAACTACTTGTTATTTGATTTTATTTTTTTTTTCTCATTTGTATGTATTTCCTTGACTTTCAATTACTGTGCTGGAAGCTGTGGTGTGTTTTTTCTCAGTATGGTCTATTGTTGGCCTCTCAGGTTTTCATACGTATTTGATCAGCTCCAATCAGACAACAAATGAAGACGTAAGTTCATAATATGTTTCTACGTACATGTTTCTAAATAGTAATGAGGAATTTTTTCTCTTATTCTTAGAGAAGTCATGCCTGCATGCATAATACTGTGAATCCCTCAGTAGGAAAGAAGGAAGAAACCTGGTCGTGCTTGATTCAAAATAGCAGAAGACATCTTTTGGACTGTATTTCTTGTGGCTTGAATATATGCTGGTTACACAGTGTGTCTATTATGATTTACATCCACAGGACCTGTATCTTGGAGTAGGAAAATAGAAGAGAGGAGACAAAAACCCAAGTATATACTGTACAGTAGGGAATTACTAAATAATTTTCAGTATCTCTTTTTCACTGGGAGTCCTAAACATTCTTTGACTCAAAAATTGCTTACTGTAAAAATGGAAAAGTGTGTTGAATTCTCAAAACAAAAATTTCACTCTTTATATTATTTTTTCTTTGAAATTCCTCTGCCAGTCTGACGTCTAAAACCTCTGGCAAGGAGTATATCATTAAGTTAAAGGTCAACTTTCTCATTTCTACAGTTGTCCAATTTTGCACATAGGTTTCCATTGTGTTGGTGTGGAATAGCAGTGTGTGAAGGCTTCGTGTGTCCTTCTCTTGCTAAAAGGAGAAGTGCAAAACAAATGAAAGGAGAAAATAAAAAGTTAGGCTGATGGTATAAAAAGCTTGTTGGAATTCAGGAACTAATTAAGAAATTACTGCAGGCTTTAAACTGTTTTATTGTAATTTTCTGTTGTACCTTTTTTCATAGGTAACTGTCAAATACAAAAGTATCATCTTTGGGACTGCCAAACATATTCTGTTATTGTTTAAGGTCATGGCTAAAATTACACATTTTACAGTAAATACCAATCAATCAGAAAAAGATTACCAAGCATGCTCAGACTGAATTGTGCCTCAGCATCAAGTATCTAAGCAATAGCCTGTCTCTGAAGAAACATGCCATGTTAGTAAGACAGATGAGATACTCTGGTATTCCCCAATTACTAGGTTTAGGCCGACATTGTCTCTCTAGGTGGACCCAGTGTGCTTCTACTATCCCTTTTCCCATCACATAGATGTCTCTTTTGGACTGTTGAAGGTCAGATAGCAGGGAACTACGGCAGTGTAACCTGTCAAAATTTCAAGTAAACTTTTTGGAAATTTCATTTAAAGCATACATTCATTTCCGGTTGGTTACAGTAAAGCATTCTACTCAGTCCTTTCAAGTATCTCACAAACAGAAAAGCAAGATAGCTAAAATAAAATGTAGTATGCGCTAGAAGGTAGTAATGGCTGCTGTTGCTTCATAGTATTTTAAAGCCATTTGTGAACTTTAGGGAAGATAATGTTGTGTGGTATTGCATAGCTTGAGAACTTACCCAAGAGTATGGGAAAGAAATGCTCTATTGCTGACTTTAATGGTTATGTTGCGATTGAGCCTCTTCTGTAGAACATGCCGTAATATTTGTAAAATTAAGCTTAGACCATTATGTTTAGATGCTGAAATTCCTGAGTTTATTGATCCTTTGAGATTTTGGGTTGTCTAAATCTATGGATGTAAAGCATGTGCTTGCTTGTAAGATTTTAGAGTCCAGGTTTTCATTACAGCCCAAAGCTCTAAGCTCTTTGGAAAGTGTGATCATGGGTTTTATCTGGTCTGCTTCTGATGTGAGTAGCATATTGCTGCTTTGGTAGCCTTAAATTTATCTCAGCTATTTTCTGTATTGTATTATATGTGATGCATCTTGTTCATATCTCTTCAGATTAAAGGCTCATGGTCAAATAAAAGAGGTAAAGAAAACTATAATCCATATAGTTATGGCAACATCTTTACGAATTGCTGTGCTGCACTCTGTGGGCCCCTCTCTCCAAGGTAAGAACATCAAAAGTATTGTTAGTATAAATGAAGCCACGTCATTAATCATAAAAAAATATTCTTTCTCATTGTTTGAGTTTATTAAAAAAAAAAAAAAAAGTTTTGTTTCACTGTCCATTAGAAGATTTAAGTAAGTTTTTCTTCAGTAGTAAGGAGATAAGGCGGTAAATTGTAGTTAAACTAAGCTAGCGATCAGATCCTGTAAAAGATATTTAAGATTAAGAAAGGATCTGTAAATAATCCAGACTTTTCTCACCTTTGTTAGATTGCTTCTCATTTTTAAATGTATGCTAGCAAATTCAGATGCATTTCACATGTCATCAACAAGTAATCTTAAATCTTAATTTGAACCATACTTGTCAGCATGGACAGCAGTTTTCTGATATGAGAATTCATGTAACTTTTTTAAGTGTCTGATTTTTGAAGGAGTGCTATCCACATGGCAGATTGTAATCTCAGATGGATTTCTAAGTGTTTTGAACGTAAATAAAAACCTGTTCTGCAGATGTTCATGAGGAAAGCTTAAACCAGTCTCCAAATGGTGAGAGGGGAAACGCCTTAGATTTTTCTATGCATCCTGTTCTTATCTTTCAAAATTGAAGCTATCTTGACCCTTAGTGAATTTTGATACATAAATCAGAAAGTAAAACCAATTCTGTTCTGACTTTAGCCTGTTACGTCCTTAGTAACTAGGACTATAAACCCTCCAGTTACTATTTGATATCCTGTGGTAAAATTTACAGTTTTTCAGAGAGAAGTAAGTAACATTGTTCAGGTCAGAGGAAAAAAACATTTTGGCCTATGATTAAAGTATGGAACTATAACTGAAAGCTAGATATAACTAAAAAAAAAATAAAATTAAAACAAAAAAAAAACCCTGAAACTTTGACTGAATTGAAGCATAAACAAGTTTTTGGAAGTGATATGATTACCTTGCTGGTGAGTAGAAATGAAGTCTTGTACTTCAATCAAATAAAAGGTAACATTTGAAGGTATTGGTGGGGTATTAATGTCTGTTGTATGATAGAAAGTTTTCCTGTCTTTTTCTTATCAAGATGAGGTAGTTACTGATCAGAAATATCTCTAACAGTTTTTTTGATTATTCCATAGCTTAATTGACAGAAGAGGATTTATACAGCCAGATACACCACAATTAGCAGGACCGTCAAATGGCATTACTATGTATGGGGCCACACAATCTCAGAGCAACATGGTAGGAATCATCCCATAGTGTTGTTCATCAAGATTCCTGTGAATGTTTTCCTTCTCCACTTTCATGTGAACTAATCAAGTAATAACTAACTGGATACAGCTGACTTTCTGGGTGGAATGACTTGTTTATTAACAGTAAAGAAAAAACCCAAGGTTCTTTTTGATATATGTTTCACACAGTGTAATAGTTATTGCTCATGGATTCTAAAAAAAGAGAGGCTTTTCTACACTCTTGATTTATTGAATATACTGGCATTTCACTTGTATTTTGAACTGGAATATTCAAGTGTCATGGACTTGCTCTGGTTCATCATTTTCCAGCTAATTCTTGTTTTATATGGCACCTTCTTTAAACTCTATTTCCTGTTTGCTTGTACACTGTGGTTTTGCATAGACTAATGCATTTTAAAAAGCAAAGATGAACAAAGGAGTTTCTAGGGGAGAAATATCTTGAAAAAAGAGCAGGATACTGAACTTCCAATGAACAAAAAATGGCAACTGGATTGTTACGATAGAAGTTTTTAAACATCTTTGAAACTGTGACAATAGTTTTTACTTTTTTTTTTTTTTTTTAGTTGGTTTGTTGTTTTTTGGAGGGTATTTTTGCGGGTAGCATTTGCTATTATAATGGAAAACAGCATTCCCAGTGCCAAGAAGAAGAGAGTAACTGGAAATAGATCTGTTTTCAAAGGCAAGCATCTTACATATGTGCCTATTTTTGAATTGTTGTCCACATATCTTCATATTATGTGGGTTCTAAGACTTTGTCAAAGAAGCCATGAGTTATGGACACCCTCCCTCTGCGAAAAAAGAGGCAGCCACAAGGCCTTATGGGATAATTCAGCCTTTCATTTGAACAAAAGAAGAAAAGACTCTTCCCAGACAGATTAGATTTAGTGTCACTGATAAACTGGTATAAAAATTTTGCTGTAGTTCCTAAGCTGGTTTTAGTTCTTATTTTGAGGACTATATAGAAGATTTGTTAGTCTTAGTGAGAACATGTATTAGAGACACAGTATTAACTCTGAATCTTCTAAGAGGTAGTTGTGCAGAAAAGGTAATGCTCCGTTGAAATTTAACTCAAAAAACCCAAAAGACAATTCTGAAAAGAGAAAAGGGGTGGGGGAAAAAAAGGGGTGGGGGGAACAAAGCTTAGAACCTTAGAAATAGCCTGAGGCCTTTCAAGGCATTAGCCAAAGTTTCTCATTCTGTCAAGGCTTCTTATTTGTGCGGATTGTTAACCAAGGTAATTCCCTGACCTTAAATTGCTGTAACATTTTATGAATTACACTTGCATTGTAAGAAGACACTATCACTGTTACTAGGTATTAATGAGAAAATCTTGTGCCAGTTTAATACAAAATTGTCTGAATTTGTCTCTAGAAATGGAGAAATCTGTTATGGTATTACTTTAAGTCAAGCAGGTACCTGCTATGTTTTTAGAGTGTAATACTCATAATTACACAAATTCTTCAAGGATTTGATCTTATATCCTAAAACATCACACTGCTCAAGCTGGGGAAGGCTAGGCTTCTTTAACAGTTATCAGAGTCACTTGGAAATGTGCACGTTTCATTCCTAAAAATAATCTCTGCGAGAAAGCTTGAAAAATGTAATACATCATGTTTGATATATAGGACTATCTTTAAGACTGTGATGCCATTTTTCTCAGGGTATTATTCCTGGTCTGTATCCAAGACCAACTGGCTTCTAGTGGCAGCTGGCTATCAGCATTGAAATTTCTCCGTCGTGTTTTGTTGGAAACTGTTAAAGACCAGCTTATTTTCCCAGTCTTTCTAACACTAGTTTCTCTTTGCTGTTTAAAGTCTTGCATTTTTTCCTGAGTTGTTTGAAGCATAATAAATAATAAATTCATGTCCTGCTGGTAACAATGCAGTGGGGCATAGCTTTGCCTCTGATTTGCTCGTTTCATGTTTCCCTTTTTCTGTGTTCTAAGGTCAACATTTTTGCTCTTAGGAGACTGCATTCAGGTTCCCATGTCTCCTGTCACATAAAGCAGCAAACAAAACTGATATCACTATTTCACAGTTAAGACCTCAATCTCATCCGTAGCAGACTTTCTTTTTTCCTGTCAAAATTAATTAATCTTACTGCTAGCTTAGTTGTTTTCAGCTATTCTGTTCAGTTACCAGATTTCCTGTTCTAATTTAGACAGAAATAATCAAGTAGAACCCCATAATTCTATTTAAACCTTTTTCCCATTAAGTGGCCCCTAGTCCTTTTTCCAAGCTTTACAATATCTGTTTCTCTCAGCTTTCTTCCCAGTCCACAATCTTAGAATCTTCTGAAGAAGTCTGGGAACAGGAGTGCTGGGAAAACCAGCCATTCACTTGCTCTCCCATAAAAAGGACCACAGAAGGTTCTTAAGTGAAAGGCAGTAAAGTACACTTCATGGCAGAAGTAAAACAAGGCATGCAGCATTCCATTGTTTGATTTTTGATTGGCGGTGGGTTTTTTAGAGGAGAAATCTCAGCAAAAAGGATTCTAGAGAATCCTGCAAGAACTTCAGATGCAAACATGAAAATTTCCTTTGGTGATTGACGGTTTAAATAATAGATCATCCAGCCCAAGACTCCAGTGGAAGCAAAAAAGTAAAGGGAAAGTCTTTGTCAAAGAAAAGGTTTCCTTTCTACCTTGTGTCCTCACTGAGAAAGATTAGGCAAAAGATGGAATATGATTCAGTCTTCCCTTCTGGAAGGTTGCATACCTCTTGAGAAAAAGTTAGAAACACTTTCTTGGAGCTGAAGCAGGTAGACAACAAAGAACTGCCAAGTCTGAAGGGGATGTATCTGGTACTACAGGTTGTGTTATTATGGTTTCAGATAAGACAGCCAAGGTGAAATTCCTTGACTTAAAAGCATGTGTAGATAATGGTCTTAGTTGACAAATATTTTTTAAATGGCAGAAGTTTAGCTATTTGTGTGTCATCAGAGATAATTGCACTGGTTTAGCAAGTTTAATGCTTGTGAGTATGGGAAATAAATTATTAGAAATCTGAAGTGTGTTCCAGGATGTTGTGACATAAAATCTTCATGTCTAGATGCTATACTGCTTATTGCATATAGCATGCTAAAATGTCTCTCCTGTCCGTTAATATTAATGGAAGATTTTAACGAGCATCTTCTCACACACTTGTCTTCTCTTATTACTATTCCTTCACTTTTGTTTTTCCTTTCCCTTCCCTCAAATCTTTTACTCAGTGACTGGTGTCTTTCTAAGTGGAGTTCTTGTGCCTCACCCAACTAGCCTCTCATCATTCTTAAAATCTCTCTGGGTTGCTTAGTATTATATTCTGCCTTTCATTTATTTTAATACATCATATAGCATAGCATCATTTTTGCATTTAAGGTCAAAATAAGTATCAGGCTCAGTTTAGACTTTCCAGATACTTTTTTCAGTGCAATACATTATCTCTTATTCAAGATACCACTTATGGGACACTATTTTTGTACTTAACAGGTTATGTGGTAATTTTGCCTTTGAGACTTTGAATGTTTCATATGGGAGCTGCCCTACTCATGCTAGTGACTCAGGTTTTCACGATCTCAGAAAGTTAGGGTTGTTGCTATAAGCAATACTTCATAGACCCATACTATGATTTTTTTTTTTTCTAAATCTTTATAACAGAGCTTTTTCTCCTGTCCTCTCCTTAGTATCTCCCTGATTTTATGACAAACTGAAATTGTTACTTACTTTTTTGAAGGCTGGAAGCACATATAACTTTTTTTTCCTTGTGGTTTTAATCTCCTTTCCAATACATTTGAAATTAATATGGTAGATTCATTAGCCAGTTTCTTAATATCCACATCCTTGTGACAAGCATGGTCACTATGAGCATATGATCTGTAGACCTGATATTTCTGAAGTATTTCTCTATTGCATTTTATTGCAGCTCTTCATTAGTCTGATTGCCCAAGTATCTCTATTCTCACTCTTAAGAATTTTTTTTCACATGAAACACAGTTTTTCACCCCTTACAAAATCATACTTTTCTCTCTTATTTTTTCTCTTTTTTTTTCTCTTTCATTTTAAAATATTATTTTCTTTGCATTTTGAAATAAAGGTTTTTGTTTCATTACCTGGATCTGCATTTGTTTGGTTTATTTTTACTCTGATGTACTGTGGAATTCTCTAATGCCTTATAAAGTAGTAGATTTTGCTTCTATCTTTCTCTGTGTCAGGACAGGGGTTTTTTCTTTGATTTTTAAGAAACTTGCCTGTGCTCCTTAGTGCTTAAGTAGTTCCTTGTGTGCCAAATTCCCTTATTTCCAGTTCTTCCTTACCTTTCCTGGATGTAAGTTCTTTAGTTAGACTGTTTGTTTCTTACTTGTAAGTATCACTGAAAATTTTAGGAACTGTAATAGAATGCACAACATTCATTACCAGCAAGGGTTGCAAAGAAGCCCTCTTCCAAACGTTCACATCAGTATTTCTAGCACTGATCTGGAAACAGGAATCCAGTTGATCCAGAGAACATTAACTCTGATCATCCTAGTGTACTTTTTCCTTTGCTTTTCCTATTTTCGTTATTAGGAGTAAGTATTTCTATCATGACAGTAAAAGGGTCAGCAAGGATAGGAGCTCCACTTTGCTGGGAGTTTTATGAGTGTATTTCCTTGTGTATTTGCTGTAATACTTCACAAATGCAATTTGTCATTGCCTGAAACAAAACTTAGTGCTCTTATCAACTCAACATTACTACAGTCAAGGTTGATAGAGGTTTTTCATTAAAGCATTTTACTTCACAGTTAAAATGGACACAGAAAAAATGCAGTAAATAAACTTCAGCATTTTGCTTTGGATTGAAGTATGTTTTAGAAGCAATTCTTTCAACTGTGCATATTTACTGCATATTTGCTCACACTGCAGACCAGTATTGGAGCACATGAACTAGATTTCTATCAGAAGATAGGCTCCTGATGAACCCAACACACTCTAACCATTCACAAACATTCAGTCTGTAAGAACAGACAGGAGCTAGTCTAGTAAAAGTAAAATCCTTGGAACAGGTATAGTTTCCCCTTTGGCTTCAGAAGTGTTTCATCTCATAGATCTACTCTTGGTGCACTGTACTACTTGCTAGTGGAGCCAATGGCTCCACTGACTTGGTGGGTTTTGTGGCTCAGTTGTTGCACAGTATTTTCAATACCATGATTTTGAATGTGAAATCCTACAGCTGTTGGGAACAGTTACACAGATGCATCCCTCCACTCTTTAGCCATCTGTTGTATCCATCTAATATAGTATTCCAGTGTCCTTTCTGTTACTTCACTGCACTGTCATTCAGTGCTTGACAGCCTCCTCCGAACTTCTTGTTTTGTACTTTGTTCAGAGCTGCTGAGAAAGTTAAACTGCTTTACTCTATCTTCTGAGGACTGTAACAGTTCTTTAATATTACTAGTGTTGAGAAAAATTTTAACAAAGTTAATTTAAAATTCAAAGTAAACATTCTCTTGCTTCGGCATTAGAAATGTGAAAAATATATTGCCATGTACAACAACTATGTTAACATGTATGTTTTGTGTAGCTTAGAAAAAAAAATCATATTTTCTTCAGAAAAAAAAAAAAGAGAAATAATTGTTTCTTTAGTTGTTTGTATTTATTATTTGTGAAATAAACAGAGAATTTTAGGTTTTGTCTGATTTGTTCTGGTTTGTGCCTTTTGATGTGAAAATAAATACAGAGATGGCTTAAAATTTCTATGCATATGAATAATTGAACTTCTGTACTTGTAGAACTTACTGAACTTGTCTTATCTTCAGAATCTTGCTGTTCCTCTGAAACAGTGGAAACTTTAAGCAGCAAATAAAATCACTAGGTCTGAAGTAAGAATGTACTGGTGGAATAATTTATATGGCAGATTTTTAGCTATTTAGATTTCAGTGCTTGGCTTCCTTTTTGTTACAATCATTGGCTTTTTAATTTCATTTGAAATGCTGGCATTGAATAATTCATGTGATTAATAAATTTCAATTAGTTAACAGTAGAATATGGAATCAAGTGAAAACCACCATGCCAACCCTATTAACAAATTTTGTTTTTCTTCTTTAGATTGTGTTGGATGTTTAGGCTCAAGAATAGTTTAGCTGTATAGTATGTGTTGGTTTTATCAGATGTTTTTGAGAGCTTCATTGAACAAATCTGCCTTTTCTAGTATAAACCCCAGTCTATTTCACTTTTGAAAGCTGTTTACAGCCTGTATTTTCCTAAGATATTTCATGTTCATCACTGCTAAACAGAACAAAAAAGAGAAAACCTGAAATGTATCTGAGTAAGTGGAGAGGCTTTAAGGAAGTGACAAGTGCATGGAAAATGAAGAGGAGATATGCAGTGCCTGAAACAGTTTTATAACACTCTATTCAGTGGAGCTTTATGAGGCTACTTTATCTTTTTGATATTGATTGAAACTTGAGTTTGGTAAGAAGAAAATTAATTCAGACTATAGAATGAGTTCAAATAAATTACCTTCAGCTAATTTAAAACTGTGTACTTGTATTGCCTGGATCACATTAATGATTTCCTTATGAAGATCAGTGTTGAAGCTTCACTAAGGCAGCAAGTCAGCTGTTAACATTATTTGTTTTCAATGTACCCTGGTGGTCTTAGGCATTTCTTTGTTATTTAACACTGTCTTTGGCTACTGCATTTCAGAGAAGATGAGGTTTTTTGGTCTTTTTGAAGTTTGAAAATTCAGTTAACAGATTTTTTTTTTTTAGGTCTGCATAGGAAGAGTGGTTGAAGGGTTGTAATTTAATTGAAATAAGCAGGCGTGAATAACAGCATATTAATCAAGAATGAGTTATTCACACTGAATTGCTAATTGAAAGCTTGACTTTAAAAGTTGCTGACAGTTTTCTTAGTAAGGTACTTACACAAGGTTTTGTCTTTAAGCCTGTGAGTAATCCCTCTGAAATGATACGAGACCACTTTAATTCTTCGTCTGGAGCTGTACATTATTTTGTGGGGGGAAAATGGCTTGTAACATATATGAATTCAATTTATGTAACAGGATATCAGTACATTTATCTTTCTGCAAACATAAGTGTTGTTGGAAAATATGTAATTAAGGGTCGGACTTCTGCCTGTCAAAGTATTTGGTCTGGGAGTCCTAAACCACTTAGACGTGTTTAAAGTACTACCTATCTACTGTGATCAAGTAGTCTGCTTGCATGCTTTCTACATGTAATGTGTGTGCATCCATCATTAAGCTATTCAGTGGTGGAATGGGAGAACCTGAAAATACCAGAGGGAAGCATTCATAGTGATGGTTTTCATCATGCAGTAAAGTAAGCAAAAGTCTTTCCATGAGTTTGCATAGAGTATATCACAGTGGCTTGTTAAACTCAGATGGGCATTTTGGGAAATTGCTGTAATGTTAGCAGCAATGGTTATGATTCAGAATATATTGAACAGTTGTTGGAGATTTGTCATATCTTTCAGTAATTTCATATAGATTAAATAAATCAGTTGAAAAGCAGAACATACTGCTTAACCGAATCCTTGAAATCATGACGTGAATAGGCATGTCTTACCTGTGGGTATATTTTTTTATTCTGCTTGCTTGCTTCCAAATTTTCCTTGCTGCATTAGATTTACAGCTGTATTCAGTGACTGTAGTGTTTCTCCTGCACAGCAGAACAGTAGTATGGCAAGTGAATCTTAACAGGTTTTGAAAATCTGCAGATGTTATAGCTGATCAGGCTATGAATTAAATACGCATTGCCCTTGGAAGCTCTCAAAAATCATGCTAGTTTGTGTTAAATAAGCTTAATGTGGCAGTAGATGTACTACCCACTTAGCTAGCTGGACATCATTTAAACACCTATCTGTCTTGTCATCTCAAGGAATTAATGGTAATTTTATATAAACAGTTCTTAGGAGTGATGTAGAGCCAAAAGTGTTCCTGGTAATACTCATTGAGCCTAATCAGATTTATATAATGCTGAATTTTGGTTATTATTGTAAAAGTGCTTGCCAGTGTTTTGTACCTTGATTCTTCAATTTGTCAAGAAACAGCCTAAAAATCATTAAAGTTGATATCAAATTAATGCATCTGCAGTGCTGCCAAATTTCTACACATCCTCCCGAGTATTGAGTATAGTATGGTATATTCTCTAGAGTGTATATATAATGTATTAAACTGGGAAGGGGGGAATTTTTTCTCAGAGGCTGTATTTGTCAGCTGTTATCTTTATAAAACTGCCTGCATCAAAGGAATTCTTCTGAAAAACTTCCATACACCTTACTTCCTACATGTGAAGACCAATTATGAAAAGATAACTTGCCTAGTGTTTTTGAACTTGGAAAGATGCTTTGATTATGCCTTTGGGCGCCTCTCTGGACTGCTAGCTACTTTAGGGTAAAAAGAGTAGTGTGGAAGTGATTCACCTCACTTGGAATTGGGGAGGTTTTGAGGTGCCCAGTGCAGTTAGTTACACATGGTCTGTGCTGCTAGACTTTCCAAATGGCTTAGAACAAGAATAAGCAAAACATTTGAATTGCAGTACTCACAAAATGGTATTTTCAAGGATTACCAAAACGCTTAAGTGAACACGTAAATGTTTATTATCATTTACTGTGGTAGTAATCCAAAGCACTGGCTCAGTTATGCATGCTTTTATTTTTATTTTTTTTTTCTTCCTGGGCAGCATGCAATGGGATTTTTGGGTGGCTAACCGTGCAATGATACTAATGGCTTTCTTTTCTTTTTCTCTTCATATCCCATTCTTTTCCATATCTTTTTGTCCATATTCTCCCTTTTTCTCTGTTGTGTTTGCCTTATATGATTTTGACACCCTTCCATTCTACAGTGTGACCAAGATCAGTGCATTCAGAGCACTAAATTCGTTTTGCAGGCTGCTGCCACACCCCTACTACAGAGTGAGCCAAGCATAACTAGTGAAGAGCTACCTTTACCAGGAAAGACTTCTATCAGTGGGCCTTGTGCAACTCTAACTCTAGGGCAACCAACACCACCATCTTCTATGCCAAATCTCACATCAGATACAGGTTTAACAGACATGATACCGTTAAAAGAGGAACATGAAGGTCATCAGTTTCTCACTCCTGAAGAAGCTCCATCACCGCCTGGGATGCTGCCAAGTGGAAGTCCTATTACACACAGCCATACAATGCACGTCCTGAGTCTAGCCAGCCAGGATTCATTGCATGAAGACTCAGTACGTGGTCTCGTGAAGCTTAGCTCAGTTTGAACAGCTTTTTTGAATATTGCACCATTTCTTGGTGGCTATATAAATATCTACTTAACAGAAATGACACTGCAGTACCACTGTAAGACTTCATAACATGCCTACAATGGAAACTTTATTGCCTAATGGAGTCTACTAAAAAGACAAGTTATTTTTTCAGTGGAGCTATGGCTTCTTTTTTTTTTATCAGGTGGTTAATGGTTGTGCTGTGACGGTGACTGCATTTTATTTTTAAACAAAACCAGAAGTGGTCAATAATCTTGTTTCCTGAAGCTTGGGTACAGCAAGTTGGAAGTCAGCCTGTAACAAACACCATATACAGTATAAAAGAGAGGGATTCTTGGATGTAAGTGTCATGCTCTGTGTTCTATGCTCTTGTAATACACACTTGTTAAGGCTTACCACACTTGTGGCCAGAATGATCTGCACTTACATGTTATGCTACTAATATTTGAGATAGAAAATTACCATTCCATTTGTTAATAAAAAAGAAAAAAAAAAAGACTGCAGATATGGATTTGCATGCCACGCTACAGTATGTGTTACAGTGGTGTTGGTATTAAGAGAAAGTGCTGCTTTTTTATTTGTGACTTTCAAAGTGCTGTTTCACTTAAAGACAGTGCAACAAAGGAATTAATGGACTACATGATGATTTTTTTCCAGTTTATTAAAGTTTATTTTAAATTAATCAGTGGTGCCTAGAAGATGGAGAATTACTGATTTGATCATGTTACATATCATTTAACCTTCTGTTTAAGTGTTTAGAGTGAGGTATTGTGTTGTGCCATACCACGAGATTCTTCCACTCCCTAATGTGATACGATTACCTGTGGACCTCCAATAAAATGACATCCTCTATTTCTTGGACATGCGTACAGTTATCCTTGCACAGTTTCCCTGGGGAAAGAGGGGGATATCATGACTTGTTGACATAATTTGTAAAATTTGAATGGAATATGTTTACATAATGAAACCAAAGCTATGAAGGAAGAGCTGGTTACAATTAGGATTGCTTCAGCATCGCTTATGGTTTTGTTTGAGATGTGTATTTGTTCCCATAAGTCTTTATTTAGAAACAGTAGAGTTAGCCTCTGCTTGGACTGTAATTTTATGTTCCTTATCATATGGTTAAAGGTGAGGGGCTTAAGATTCAAGATACAGACAGATAGCTGTCTGGACAGTGAAGTAATCTTAAATGGCTAACAATAGACTGTAGGTGCCTCCAGCCATCATCCTTCATTTGTATTTGTCCTTTATTTTAAATAGAAATCTTGATTTCATAGGTTTATTCTGTGCTTTTCTGTGCTGTTTTATTTTGTTTAATTAAAGCACAATGAAAAATATTTTTCCTTTAATATTTTAAATTGAAATCTTGATTTCATAGAATTCCTCTGTGTTTTTTTTTCTTTAATTAAAGCACAACAGAAAGGTTAAAGTTATTTTTATAATTATTTTTTGCGACAGCTGGAGAGAACCTTAGTTATACTGAGAAAGTTTAATAGCTTTAATACTGTATTTACCATGGTTTTCAGGATATGGAACATAGATTCTTCTTTTCTCAGGACAAACTAAATGCAGAATGTGCTTTATCTGATGCTTCTACTGCGTGAAAGCATTCGCCAGTTAAGAAATGTAACAGTTCTGTGTTATTCACTATGGTCATTCACTGACACCAGGCTAAAAAATCTTTTGATTTTACTTTCATTGTTGAAATTGAGGGCAATCCGCCTGCAGAAAATCAGTCACCCAGGCTATCCAAGCTTCAGACAAGCTACTGACAAAACCACTGCTCCTCTAAGATTTCATAAGCAGTCTATTTCTATAATTGATGATGCTAGCATTGACCTAATTCAGCGTGTTTTAAGATAGCAACACTTTCTGTCTGTAAGTGCCGTAATGGGTCCACTAAAGAAGCTCTGGCAGACAAGTCTGTCCCAGCTGTTGGAGCCACCCACCCAGCATTTTCCTGAAGCTCAGGCAGTCTCAAATTCTTTCAACAGCGAAACTGTAGTGACTGACGTGTCCCAATTGGCTGGTTTCCCAGTAAGCCCCAAGTATCAGCACTTAATTCTGTGTCTGCTCTTGAAGAGTCAGTGATGCTTATTTTCTTGAATTCATCTTTCCCTGATGTGTCTTCTCATTTATGAGTCCATTTACGTCTGCATTAAAGCAGATGACAGTTGAGGGCTGGAGATACTGGTCTCATAGGCCTGGGTAAAGAATCCCAGCTTTGAGTTTGTAGGCAAGTACTTGATCGAATCATTATATCACAGGTGTCTGTGGGCAGTTAACCGTGGATGCATTACTCACTACACAGAAAGGCAACTCAAATATTCTTGATGTAGTATCAGAACTTTCTAGTTGTAGCAGTAACGATGAGGATCACTATTTTAAGAAAGTTGTTCTTTTTAAGTCTCCCTGAAATACCCAAGGGATATGGAGCTTTCAAGAATATCAACGTCGTGACAACATTTGTATGTCATTGCCACTGGGGAGTAGTGCAGAAAGCTGTACATTCAATAGAACTAGTGTCAGTTTTAACATGAAATGGAAGGGAGAAGAACAGGATTAGCATCTTTATGCTGCTTTCCTTGTGCTCAGGCTTTTCACCGTCATTATTTGAACCTTCTGTTTTGTTTATAAGCAAGATGTGAAAATTACCTAACAAATTGGAAATGTGCTGCTTCAAACAGATGTGCTAGTTATGTACTCGTTCAGGTGACTTTTTTCTTCCTTAGTTTTTAAGATGTGAGCCTTATGTTTTTTAACATGCTGCCTATGTTTTTAAGTTTGCCATTTGAGAAGAAATTACTTTGAATTTGTTTATGTATTTATATCACCCTTATTTTAAATGTTTCCCCTCCCATCCGTCTGGTTTTTTAAATGGTGACTGCCTTGTGAGGACATCTGCTGGAAGATTTCAGAACTAAGTTTATTAACCCATAAAGTGTGGTAATTGCAGTCTTTGATCGACAGCAGGCAGTGATTTAGCAGCAGGTTGATTGAAGAGATGAGAGGTGCCTCTAACAGGGTTTTGGTCTGTTCCCCTCACCTCCTCACCTCCATCACTGCTGTCTTCCATAGTGGGTGCTCCCTTCACTGGAAATTTTATGTACATCTGAAATGAGTCAGCAAAGTAACTCTTCATCACCTGCTCTACAGATTTGATTGTTTTATTTTCCTTTGTTTGAACTATGATTACAAAGCATGCACACTAGGCATCCAAAATGATAATCCTAGTGAATGCTGCACAGGGTTTCCTGGTTTTCTTTCCTTTGACAATTAGTATACTAATACTAAATAGCTCTTTCCATGTTTGTCTGATTTATAAGTGTAGAATTGAAGTGAAAGTTGATATTTTCAGAAAAGGGTTGGGTTTTTTTCTTAAAAACCTAAAATCTTTGAATGTGTAAAACCTGGTTAGTTTATCTGAAAAAAAAATATTTATTCTGCTGTGGCTTTTTAAAATAACATTTTTCCCTTCTAGGTGTCTATATAATATTCTATGTAGAATGAAATACAGTGCTTCATAAAATATTTTTAAGGGCTCTTTATTCTTGTGATTTCTAAAAGACATTTCTGTTTCAAAAGGGGGGTTTATATTCATATCAGTTAAACAGTAATGTAATAAATGACAATATTATTTTATTTTTGTATTACAGTGCATCCTTTATCAACTTTTAATCTGTTCATGTGAACTGGTAATATAGGCAGATGTATTTCTGCATAAAGTAGTTAATACATCCATTAAAAATAATCTCTGGATAGAAGATTAGCTGTTTTGCAGTTGATCCTAGTGAATGATCCTAGAAGCAGCAAACGGATCTCATAAACCCGATGACCTGTGGGATCGCAGTAACACCTCCCACTGTTACAAGGGAAGTGACCAACTTGTGATATCACAGATTTTGTATTTGTTTAAATTTATGCAGTGAGTATAATAGTTCATGGTAAGTAAATTATTGCCTAATGTTCAAAATACTAAATGAAGGAACATCTCTGCAGAACTAACCAAACTGAGCTTCTGTTTGTCTTTTAGTTCCCAAATTCAACACAGCTTGAAGAACAACTCACCAATGTTATTAAGGGATCTAATCTTTACTTTGGTTCTCTTCTGGTTTAAATTGTATGTGGGAACTGTCATGGGGTTTTGTTGTTTGGGGATTTTTTGTTTGTTTGTTTGCTTGTTTGTTTTTCCCTTCCTCCTCTTACCAGCAGTGGTACCCTGAAGATGAACACATGGTGTGCTCGGCCATGGGCCAGCCTGACCTTGTTTTAAAAATCACTTGCTGCCTGAGTGATTTTAATGGCTGAAGTGAAAGGAGGTAGTTTATTTCAGCAAGATTTCAGATATCCTTAGTCCCAAAATATGAATGGAATGTGTTTTAGGCAGCTGCATATAGATTTAGTTCACTTAAACTAGAACTGTCCTAGTTTTCGGGATCCATCTGGGTCAGGGCTTCCTGGGTTTCATTGTCTGCCTGTGAAGACAACTGGCTGAGTGCACTGCCTGGACTTCCAAAAGACTTGTGGGATTAACTGAGCTGTTTAAACCTGTGCAAATCTAGATTAATTCTGAGCTGATGGAGTAAGACAGTTCTATCACCAGACGGCAACTATCTGCTAACATTCAACTGAAGAATTTGAAAGCTCACTGCAGACAATGCAGGGGGAGGAGGAGAACAACTTTCCCATGTTATCAGAAGATAAAATAGGAGTTTGTTTCTAAGGTCGGAGAGGACAAGAATAATAAGATGAAAGGGAGAAGACTGAGTGAAAGCAGAACAGAGAAGATTAGTAGGTGACATGGAGGAAAAGAGGAATTACCTGTAAGCTGGGGGGTGTGTGTGTGGGTGGTTATAAACAAAAAAGCCACATGGGGGGGGGGGAAGAGGACAGCTGTCAGTATTAATCAAGCAAAATTTAAAAAAAAATGCTTACTGGTATTCAAATATGTTTGTGAGAAATGTCTTAAAAATTCTGGAGAAAAAAGGAAGATAAATAAGGTCAAGCTTTGAGAGAAAGCAACTGTAAGAAGATGATAAGAAAATGTGAGGAGTTGGGCTGCCCTCAAGCTCCCCTCCCCTAATATCTTTTCCTACTTGTGTTTTGAAGATACACCTGTAAATATAAAAAAAAAAAAAAAGTGAAATCTTGGTCCCTTTGAACTTGATGGGAAGCTGAAGATATTAACCGTGCTAAAAATGGTAATTGCGTTAGCATTTTGCATTTCTATACTGATAATTGTTTTAGTATTCTATATTTCCATACCAGAAGTGCTATTGCACTGAGGGAAATGAATAATGTACGGTTCTGTGTTTCTTGGTGATGCCTTCATTAAATTTGCTTATCTTTAACTAAGAGTGTTTTCCTAAGGAGGAATCTCACCAATTGGTCCTGAAACCTGCAATTCAGTCAGAACTTCTGTGACTAGTGTGCATATAGATACTAAGACTACAGGCTACATAAACTTTGTTTACAAACCAAAAAGATCTATCCTACAGAGATACATTTACTTTGCAGTATATACTGCAGTCAGTTCCACTGACAATAAAATGTTAATGTCGGTGTTACTTTGATGTATTCTATGCCCTTCCAACTTCAGCTACATTGCCTCTTCTGGAAACTTGGAAAATAGAGTTAATTTTAACCCCACTACATTTTAAATCTTCCCAAACCTGAAGCTGCTAACAGCCGCTGGGACTTAACCTATGTGCATTTAGGTTATAGAAAGGACACAGAGGGACCACCTTAGTCAACTTGGCTGGAGTGGTCTGTGGTGAGAGAATGCTTGGAGCCTTTCTTGAGCTCTTCTTGAAAGCACCGTGTACAATTGAGAAAAGAATATGATTTTAGCAGGCTCAAAAGTATCTCAGTTTGG